TAGGACGACCGAACAGATCAAATTTTTTTAGCGATGCGAATTATTCATTTATATTGCTTTTAAAGCACACCAGGATGCATAACGAGCCATTTCAGATCATTTCCCAGAAAACGGTCGTTGGGTGCCCCTGGGATATGATCGAAGGTCTTTTAAAAATTGTTTTCAGCAGAGGATGATTTTTTATTAGACTCCACTTTGCCATCAATGTCTTTTTAAGGTCTTGTACCAATATTTCATACAGATAACTAACAAAGTGATAACAGTTCTGAATTTCATTATATTTATTAATAATTGCTATCTATCAGACATCAAAGATTGGCAAAATGTAGTGTCTATTCAGCCTTGTTCTACTTTTTTTAAAAATGATTTGTCAACATTATGTCAATATTGTCCAATATAACTATTCATAAAGTAGCACTGATGTACATGGATGCATCCTCTAATGAAAAGGACTACAGTGTGTTGTCTAGGTCCTGTGTTTGAATAACTGAAGTAAAATTATTCATCCTATGGCCCTGATCCTTAATTAAATTTGGTGCATGTACAATATTTTCCAGGACAATGTCTCACTTGATTCCATTGTGGGTTACTTTTGGAAATTGACTGAGTAGCCTCCAGAATTTGGGTCTTGTGTGAGCTTGAAATTGTTGGTGGATAAGCCAAACGGTCGTAAAAAGACATTCCCCAGTTCTTTAAGTTTTCCTACAAAAATAAAAACAAAATATTGGGCAACTGCAGGCAGTTTGAGCACAACAATTCTTAAAATGACTCTCACTGTAGTAAAAAAGAAAGGTGATTAAGTAGAGACCAAATTATTTTCTGCAAGAATTTTTCAAAAATCTATCCTACATCTTACTTATTGTCATGAGAAAAAAAAAGAATGTTCAGTTTATAAGTTGTCTGCTAGCAGTCTCTCAATCTTCTTTTGAGGCATGGTAGATCACATGGGTGCATGGGGCAAACAGTGAAGCTGTGAGGAATTAAGGCGCAGCATAATTGTTGTGGATGGTTCTGAGGGAAAAAACCAGGGATGACCATTTGTGGTTTAGTTATAACCTGACCTAACGACAGCCTTCATTAATAAAACGACTGATGCTCTGGTTATTCAGATTATTGTTCTCCAGACAGTCCAATATATAACAGGTTTATATATTAAGTTGCATTAAACTACAGAAACAACAACCAATGTGTACCTATCATTTCTTCTTTCATCTTCTCATGTTTCACTTTGATCTGTTCTGGGAGTCTCTGAAAACCCAAGGAAACAGATAGTGCTGTTATGACCTGTTAAGCTACACCTCCCAGATCAAGGAAATTAAGTTCCCTATTAGGATGCCTGGAATACGGGATAGATCTGTGAAAAGTTTCCTGTCTGCTGTGCAATTTGTTTTAATGCTTAGCAATAAATTATGACAGAAACTTATATATATGCAATAAAAAAGGTTCCTCTTATGAGAGATGTGAAGGGTGGAGGGAAGAGCTCAAATCCCAATCCAAATGTTTCGTTCATACATGTAGTCCAAATTTTGTTTTTAATTCCATTTCAAGTAGCAGAAATGTATGTTAATCCAAGTAATGTTTTGCAGATAATTATCTTAACAACTGGGGTGAAATGGTGTCCTCTATACCAGGTCAAAGCCTGTCTAGTCCCCCTCAAAAGGACACCGACCCTACCAGATTCTTACAGGGCTCCATTAACCAGTTTATTTCTCTCCACAACCTCGTTTTCTCAGCACAAATGGTATTTTCTTCCGTGTTCCAATCCCGATTTTCATAGCCAGCCAACAAAAGACAAATGTACAAGGTTAGTAAGGTTTCAAAATACAAACTTATTTTTTTGAAATTCTTATTAGCTTACCATCAAAGCTTCTCTAGCAACATGAGAAGAACGATCAGCATCAAACACCTTTTGATACTCTAAAAGAGAAACAAAAATAGCAAAAATTACAAATATTAAACACCTTGCAGAGTTGAATCATTAAATGATTAATGTGTAATTTGAAATCATAGTACTTTAGCCAGCAACAGGACAAATATCCATGCTTTCAGCTTGGAAATGCAAAGAAAGCAAAATTTCAATATCAAAGTAGTTTTTTTTCCCTTCTCTTCCTATTAATTTTCTTCTGTAACCGGATTTTTCCTGAGAAGAGTTGTTAAGAAATTGCAGAAAAGCATGAATCCTCCCACAAACACAAAACATGGGAATTGAGGTCATGTCCTGTCCATTCACACCTATTAATAACTTTTTTTATGCCACAGTTCTTTTGTTTTATGACTAGTTTCCACTCTGGTTGACTTTATTCTTTCATTATTTTCCCAACCAATCCTGCGAGGACTTGTCACAGCTGCGAGACATCTCCTTTCACTCTTACACTGAGTAACTATGGCAGGATTTTCCTCTTCTAACTTTTGGATTGGCATGGGAAATCCTTTTAACGGTGCTAACATTCAATAAAATAACGCCTCTTTGACAGGACATTAATACATGTACATTGTTCTAAATGTATTTACGTCGAAGGTGTTTATATAAAGAAACTTATTTGTGAATTCTTTCAGCAAAAATGTAAAAAAGGAAATGAATCTTTGTGTGTGTTTTTTTTTTTACCTTCTAATGCCTCTTCTAATCGATCCTCATGCTCATAACATTGGGCTCTCCTAAGCCTCACCTTCATGTAATCTGGGTTCAGGTCTAAAGCTGTAAAATTTAAGGAGTCCTTAATTAACTCTTTAAGGTGACTCGACCCAGTTTTTTTGGGGAGGTACCATCCTACTTTGAAGCTCTCTGGTATCTCCACCTTTACTTTTATCGTAAGTCTAACACATAGAATGGATAACATATAGATCAATCTACAATCTAACATAAAATTTTTGGCGATCGGAGTAAATGTCACGTGGTTATGCCATGCCCCTTTGAGGTCTGAGTCGAAAATCTGCTGTTGCCAGCATTTTTTCGTGAAAATCTCTCGGCTACACATAGTGCACATTAGTGCCTTGCGCTGAACAGAGTTTCACCAAAATCGCAAAGACCCAAATAAGTTTCCAAATTTAGGTCATAATTTATGCGAAAAATGATAAGCAAACTTTACACGATTATATCTAATAAACTATGAGATTCATCCCTTTATTTTGGGCATCGCTATAACAGATGGGTCCTTGCAAGTCAGCAAAACGCTTTAGGGCCTTGTAAATGCGCGCAATTTCGAGCAAAGCAAACATATAGAAGTTATAGTTTTCACTATTTGTTGACATTTGTCAGTGTTTAAGAGTCCTTCTCACGAAAAAAGCATTTTCTTAAAAATTCGTAGTTTTTTTTCCTTCAAATTTTTTCAGGGCCACAACTGATTAACTAACTACCCGGACTCTGAATTTCATGGTCATTGAAAAACTGTGACATTATCTTCTATAAGCCCAAACTTGAGTAAACATTGAAGATATTTAGCGTTTTGGCTGAGTTTGTGCTATTGTGGTGAGTTGTCTATTGTTTCTAGTCTGTCATCATACAGCATTCCTGTTCAGCATGCATGCAATGATCGCGCTTGGCTGACTTCCGAATGCTCACCGAGATATGATAATTTTGGTACAGTGAGACAGGCCATCGCGTGATACATAGAGGTTTAACTCACAATTTTTAATCAATTCTTGTGCTTCTTGCGCCTTTGCAAAAAAATCAAGATGTGCTACGCACTAAATCTACTTACTATTAAAAAAATATCATTTTTTCATAAGTTTAATGCAAGCCATTAATTAAACCAACTCGTGATGGGAATCCCTTCTGTTTTCTCATACTAAATTATCATATCTCGGTGAGCATTCGGAAGTCAGCCAAGCGTGTTCATTTCATGCATGCTGAACGAGAATGCTGTATAATGACAGACTAGAAACAATAGACAACTCCTAAAGCACAAACTCAGCCAAAACGCTAAAAATCTTCAATGTTTACTCAAGTTTGGGCTTATAGAAGATAATGTCACAGTTTTTCAATGACCATAAAATTCAGAGTCCAGGTAGTTAGTTAATTAATTGTGGCCCTGAAAAAATTTGAAGGAAAAAAACATTACAAATTTTTAAGAAAATGCTTTTTTCGTGAGAAGGACTCTTAAACGCTGACAAACGTCAACAAACAGCGAAAAATAATTATAATTTCTATATGTTTGCTTTGCTGGAAATCGCGCGCATTTACAAGGCCCTAAAGCTTTTTGCTGACTTGCAAGGACCCATCTGTTATAACGATGCCCAAAATAAAGGGATGAATCTCATAGTTTATTAGAAATAATTGTGTAAAGTTTGCTTATCATTTTCGCATAAATTATGACCTAAATTTGGAAACTGCTGAATTTCTCGTATTGGGTCTTTGCGATTTTGGTGAAACTCTGTTCAGCGCAAGGCACTAATGCGAACTATGTGTAGCTGAGAGATTTTCACGAAAAAATGCCGGCAACAGCAGATTTTCGACTCAGACCTCAAAGGGGCATGGCATTATAACCACGTGACATTTACTCCAATCGCCAAAAATTTTACGTTATATGGTAGATTGATCTATATGTTATCCATTCTATGTGTTAGACTTACGATAAAAGTAAAGGTGGAGATACCAGAGAGCTTCAAAGTAGGATGGTACCCCCCCAAAAAACTGGGTCGAGTCACCTTAAACCCTAACATAAACAAGTATATTCTGTTCACTGTTTTCCACACTTTCCTATGGTACTGATGGAGAGAATTTGTTTAACAATAAAGATCTTTTCAGTTCTTCAGTTGATCATTTCCTTTTTTCTCATGATCTAACTATTTGTCTCAAATATGTAGGGAAAAACTAAGTGTTGGTCAGTCTTAGACATTAAAAGGCTAAATGAAATTCGGCCATGGTTAAGTAATTTCCATCATCATTCTCTCATAGACAAAAACTTTAAACCAGTAGGAAAGCAAGAAATCACTTTCATGTTCATGTCCATGTTCATGAAATCAGTCTTCGAAAAAAAAAGACTTATTGGCTGGAAATCTTGCCAGTCATTGAATAAAAGGAGGAAACACTTTCCCTAAGTGACACTGAACACTAGATATTAAAATTACAGTTGAACCTCCACTTACGGCTGGCCACCTCTCTACAATGGCCACTTTATTTTGTCCCAGCAAACAGGCCACACGTTGACTTTTATTTAAACCTCTCTACAACAGCCACCTCTCTACAATGGCAACAGCCACTAAATAGTGTCCCCAACTGTCAAAATAACCTCTCAACAGCTACCAGTTTTTTCAGGGACTGATGAAAATGTTAAGAATGGTCATGAAATTTGATCCTTCTGGCACATTGATGATTAATCGCACCAATCGTACATTTTTATTTGGTTTCATTTTTCCTGCTGCAGTACAGCTGTAAGCATAAATAATTGTCATCGATGATACTTATAGCCAATGTTGTAAAACCTTGCTCATTTTATCACTTCAACATTTTGATTCAAAACATAATTCAAGCTTCTTGTGTATTTTATCTCTACATTATTATGATTGGATTACCATCATGAGATAAAGTAAGCATGAACTTAGCACAATAAACATGTGATACTCCCAAAAAAACTTATTACGCTCCTACCTATCCATAACGGCCACCTCTCCACAACGGTCACTTTCTTCTGTCCCCAGGGTGGCCATTACAGAGAGGTTCGACTGTATGTATTATGATTATGAATAGGGAGCTTCAATAAGCAATGACAACAGTGACGTTAACAAGAACAGCAAAAAAAGGTTTAAATTGGCAAAACAACAACTCTGCACAGCATCACGCTTTTTTGTACATTCCTTTATCGTCACTGCACTACTACAACGTGAAAATGTCTAATTTCAGGTTTGTGGCCAAGGATGTGAACACAAGACAAAGACTTTCTTTTTCTTTTCCTGAATTTTGATACAACCTATTAGAATTCAACTCCTGAAAAAATTGCCAACATTTGACAAATTGAACGAGATGGAATAAGCACGATTAAGTTTGAAACAGAGTGACTGCCCTTTAAAGTGACATTTTTGTAGCCGTTGCTGTCATTAGGCTCCCTATTATCATGATGACAACAACGACGACGACTCAAGTGCTACTACACTATACCTTTTGTGCAGTCCTCTATTGCCTCCTTGTGTTGATCCTGCAAAGGATTAAAGCATAGTATTCAACCTTTGAATTAAGATACAAGTAGGCCTCTAATAATAACACAGACAGCAAAGGGACAGAGCCAAATGTCTGCATTACAGTGTTGTCCATATTATAGAGGTAGGAATCGTAATTGTAAAGTTTGACGTCTTTGCAACCAGGAGAGTTGTCCATAATAAAGGTGTCTGTACCAAGGACGTACAGAAACGGCACATAAAAATACATGTATAATGTTTCTCAAGGTCATAAATAATTTACAATAATTTTTGGAGTACCAGCTGGTCTTTTACTTTGTTTTGAGTTCCAGTGAATGATCATTACTCAGTCAACATTTGAATAAAAGCATTTACTTTAACATCAAAGTTAGGTTAATACGTAACAAAAGTGGTTCAACAACTTCTTCATGTATGTACATGATCTTTATGTGTGATAAGTAACAAAAAAGGATTCAATACTGTTGGTACCATTTTTGCCAGTGATAATTCACAACATATTCCGAGCTTTCGGCTAAAAGCTCTGATCTCATAGGTGACTACACTTAATAGGTTTATCAAAGTGTTGCTTACTAGAGCATATTTTCATATATACACATATAAATGACCAGATCTGCTTTTGACTTCTCAAATCACTTCCCACAGTATTTGCTCATAAATAACATTATATAAATGATATCCAAACCCCTGTTACTAGAACCTTGTATAAACTAAGGTGTACATTAAGCTGTAGTATATTACTATTATTCAAACAAAATTACTATCATAAGAACATACCATCTTAACAAGACAGGCTGCCCTGTTAGCATAAAATACTGACTTTTCTTTGGTGAAGTCATCTGGACATATCTTTATTGCATTTGTGTATAATTCTTTAGCCTCAGGGTATTCTACAGAAAAAAAGACAAAAAATATACAAATAATTGTGTTCATGATATACCCACGGTAAAAAAATCCTGTTTCATTGGTAGCTTCATACTTACATGTACATTGTACATGGTTACGTTTTGATTTAATACTTGTCATATTCATCCATAATATTTAGATGTATAATGAATAATTTAGACTACGAAAAGAAAATCTCATTAGACATGCAGGTATATACCTGATCTTTTGAAGTAATCATTGCCTCTGTCTTTAAATTGTTGGGCCTGTGTTTTTCTTTCCTAGAAAAATATTAATAAATAATACAATGTGGTTAGTGCAGGCAGTTGATGAATTTAAATTGAAGGGGTACATGTACATGGCAGAAGTTGCCCCAATAAACCATTGACCTTCCATCTCGTGTCAAATTTTCCCATGTTTCAGAAGAAAACATACATGTAAGGTAATTTGAAAAAAAGACGTTAACAACAAGTACCTTAAGATGCACCATTTCTGTCTATGGGTATGGGTAGGCAAAAATATTTGCCATGTACATGTAGTTATCTAAAAGGCGACCATTATTTTCAAGATGTGATACCCAGTAACTTACCTGTTTCTCCAGGGGAAGAGGCAATCTATCCATATGTCATAAAAAATAATATTAATAACAATTTATTGCTTCTGTTGCACAACATACCCCTGCCAAAGAGTCACTAAAGAGAGAGATTTGATTTTTTGTCAAATTCTCTCAGTCTGGAGAATTTGTATGTAGATATGTGTATTGGGGCTTAAAGGGTTACTGGGTCGTTTCCAGGTGTACCCTTTTAAATGACCAAATTCCTTGCTAAAAGAAAAATCCCTCCCATTGTTTTTCCTTACTTCCGGGGAGGGTTCAGCTACAGGTACGTCAAAATCATGTTACTCTGAGGGCCACATTTCCATTCAATATGCACCCACCCATTGACGAAGAAAAAGAGGATGCTGTTTTTAGGGGTTTAGAATGGTAAATTTGAGCTTTTTCAAGACTGCGGTTTCAAAATTGAGACCAAGACTTCAGTGTCTTTATTAACTCCGAGCCAGAGACTCTAACTGCCAAAAATCTTTGCTGAGATAATGGCACCAGTAAAGCTAAATAACTATGACTGAAAACGCCAATGGAAGCTAGCGGATGCCCACCAAAATACTGCTTTGACTTGTTGAGTTTTACTGTCTTAATCTACTAGCTGAGTTTGATAAGCTGTACCCATGAACTCTGAAAAATTTCGACTTCTGAGGGTAGACCAAACAGAAAGGGACGGCAAATCTGAGACTCCGAGATGCAAAAATCACCTGAAAACGAGACTTCGAGACCCATCAAAAACGTTTCTGAGATTTCAAGACTGGGCCAAAATTATTTTAAGGTCTTAAACAGAAATGGCTCGGAGGCTTGCTAGTCATGACAATAGAATGAGATGGATATGAGACATATTAATTTAAGACAGACATAAAAAAAGAAAATATAAAATTCAAACAGATGGCTTGGTGGCTTGATGGCTAATTAGTCAAGGTTATACAGTTTACTGACTAAATGGATCAGTGGCTCTTCAGTCGGGACTACCAAGCTGCCAAGCTGCCCCAACGAATATACCTAGAAAATTTGCCCTATATTCTGTAGTTAAGGCGACTTGGCCCGCGTCTAATAGCTACATGTATAAGAAATTTTTGCTTTTCTCATTTCTGCTATTTTTTAATCCTCCCAGAAAATCTGTTCTTTAATCTTACAACCTTCAGAAATTCCATTTTTTGGTAAACCTCTTCAGAAAATTTCGTCAGCGGGAGGTGCGTACATTAAATGAGCTTAAATGGAATGGCCCTGATCGACGACTGAAGAACATCCTCTTAAATTAGGAAAATATGTTTGTGCAAACCTCTTTCTCCTCAGGAGTAAGTATTTCTTCCTCCTCAGCAACACCTTCACCGTCCTTTAACTTATCGTTGTTTTCAGCTTCTTCTTCTGTTGTTCCTAAAGAGTCCATTTTCTCATTTAAGTGTAAATCCTGAACGGCATCTTGAAAAGTTTCACTTTCAGATTCGTCGCCTGAAAAATTGTCCACTACTTCGTTAACTATTTCAGAGTTTTTCGATGCTCTAGAAGCTTCTATCCTATCTCTGTCCTCTTTTACTTGCTTTACGTCAAGGCCATCATTTTTTCCTTCGTCGCTCGGTAAATGTGTTGCAACAGATTTGAGTTTTTCTTCGGAATCTTCATCCATCTTGGACGCCATGTTTGAAAAACAGATTACCGCTTTGTGTAAGTTGTCATATGAATGTCTAGCCCCAGGCCCAGTAGACCAGTAAGTAGGGATTCGTGTGAGGTAACGCATT